CTCGTCTGAGGACCAGAGGAGTTCTTAGAAAACTCGGAAACTAAAAGCCAGACCATAACAGTCTTAAAATGCATCTCAATTTGAGACCAAAGGACATTTTACTTCTCTCTGTGTGGCTATTTTCACCTGGACTTTTCTTTCCAACTCTCTCTGGAGGAACAGAGGGGAGAAACATTAGACTGTTTTAAATACAGAACACTAAGAATGTCACCAGCCGGGGCTAAGGAAAAGTGTCTCTGGCCTTAATGGTTCCAGGGGGGCTTCCTCCAGGAGCCCTGACCTTGGTTTGTATCACAAATATTTTCCTTTTTCAAGCTCAGCAGGAAACATTAATTCAACAGGTGGCATTGCCACTGACAGATGGTGGCTTCTTGGCCTCACCTCAGCCAGGCCAGGCCAGTTTGCCTGGATTCCAGCCCCATGCAGGCGCAGTTTGTATGGCAGTTTTTAAGCAGCCCGAGCATTCTGGCCCCTCACACACATGAGGGAAGCAGGCCCACATGCTAGTGAGTGGAGGAGGCAGGGCAGCCTGAAAGAGGCCTGTGCAGAGAGGGCTGAGACTATTAGATCAGAGAAAATGGAGAGAGGGGACCAGCTCTGGTCTTACCTCCAGCGGGTCACAAAACTTCATTAGACCTCAGCCGCTTCCTCAGTAAAAAGGGTCGCAGAAAACCCACCCTCATCTCCTCAGCTGCCAGCAACTATGTGGGGCCCTGGACAACGCACTCTCCCATTCATCTGTAACTGGAAAGTCAGATGCTCTCTGAAGTCCTTTTACACTAAAATCTGAGGGTCCAAGGTGGGTGTTTTGAAGGTACAGGAACATCTCAGGGCACTCTGGCCCACAGTGATCCTCGAAGTTCTCACACAGGTTGAGCATTCACTTCGCGCCTACCAAGCCGTGTGCTGCCCCACCCCCTGCCCTTCCCAAGCACAGCCCTGCCAGGAAGCAGCTCTGGCCCAGCCCTGGTGGGGGACACAGGTGGTCAGAGAGGATGAAGATGGCCTTGTCAAAACCCAGCTCCTTCTAACTCCCACATCCACATTCCCTCCGCCTGTCGGCCCAGAACAATCGAACCTGCTTTCTTCCATCCCCACAGGGACTGATGCTCGGGCCCCCATAAAGTCGACTCCAGTGCACACACACCCCCGAGCTGGCCAGGGCCCTGCAATGTGGCTGCAGCTGGGACAGCTTAGACTATCCCGACATCAGTCAGGATATCAGCTCTGGGCCTGGCCAGGCCCGGGCAAGTGCAGGCTGACCTTGGAGGAGGCACACTGCCTGGTTGCCAAAAGCTGCAAATCCCGAATCCATGTCCACAAGAATATAGAAACATAAATGTTTTCTAGGGCTGTCCTCAATTCTAGATAACCTCTATTCTACTTCTCTGGCACTAAAATATTCTCTTTTAAGTGAAATGCCAACCATGTTAGGAGGTAGACGGGTTGTTAATTTTTTTTGTGTTTCCTTCTTTAAAATGGTCACTTTTTTCCTTTTATTAATTTGTTTACATTGTTGACATTTGTACAGTATTAGATCCCTTGTGCTCCTCCCACCTCTGTTTTGATCCCTTTTCCTCCCCCTCCCCTACTTTAAGCCTCATATCTATAGTTGCTTACAGGTTTTGTCCTTTTTTTTTTTTTGACTCTTCGTTTGGTTCCCCTGTATTTCTCCTATAAGTGATATCACCCAATTTTTCCTTTTTCCTTCTGACTTATTTCACTGAGCATAATTCCTTCCAGCACCATCCATGTTACTGCAAGTGGCATAAGTTTATCTTTTTTGATGGCTGAGTATAATTCCATTTTGTTTGTGTGTGTGTGCGTGTGTGTATCACATTTTCTTGATCCAATCATGTTTTGGGGCATTTAAGTTGTTTCCATATCTGAGCTATTATACATAGTGCTGCAATAAACATAGGGGTGCACGTTTCCTTTTGAATTAATGTTTTTTGTGTCCTTTGGGTAGATTCCTAGGAATGGAAATGCTGGGTCATGTGGTAGATCCATAAAATGGATACTTTTAATAAAAAGTTACACATTGGCAACCCAATAAAGGTCCTTCCATTTTTTTAAACAGTTCTGAGAAATTTATGTGATTGGGGTATTTATAGTTCCTTTAGTTTTTTTCTTTGTCCTATAATACTATTGAGAGTAGTCTCCAATTATGATCTCTAAAATTTGCAGCTTTGTAAGAAGATACAAGAGTCCTCCTATCCTCCACCACACCACACACACACACATCACACACATACACATCACACGTAAACACATCAAGGAAAACCATGACTGTATACAAGTGAGGATGTGCACCCTCACGAGAAACCAAATTGGCCAGCACCTTGACCTTGGACTTTCCAGTAAGAATGGTGAGAAAATTAAAATTCTGTTGCTTCAGCCACACCATCTGTGGTGTTTTAACAACACAGCCCCAAGCTGTAGTCAGCTCTGATACCCTTTCCCTCAACAGGCTTCCGTCTCTCCACCTGTAAAAGTGAGCAAGTAATATTCCATTTCGGCATTACCTAGTGCCAAGTCAAACAAAGATATAATAAGAACAACAGCTCATAAAACTATATACTATAAAACTACAAATCAATAGCTCTTAGGAATCTGATGTAAAAATCCTCAACAAACCAAATGCAGTAATATATAAAGATGACATACTGTGACCAAGTACAACTTATCCCAGGAATGCAAGATTGGTTTAACATCCAAAAATCAATTAACATAATACTCTATGCCAGTAGAATAAAAGGGAAAAACCATATAATCATCTCAATGGACACAGAAAAATCATTTGACAGTATTCAACATCTTTTCATGAAGAAAAACTCAGTAAACTAGGAATGAAAGGGAACGTCCTCAACTTGACAAATATTATGAAACAGTCACACTTAATGGTAAGAGACAGAAAGCTTTCCCCCAAAGTCATGAACAAGACAAAGATGTCTGCTCTTGCTATTTTTATGCAATAGGATGATCTTGCCAGGGCAATTAGACAAAAAATTTAAATAAAAGTTATCCAGAATGAAAAGAAAGTGGTAGGGCCTCCCCTGGTGGCGCAGCGGTTGAGCGCTGGGTTGCGAAGCTTCCCACAGCCTCTGCAGAGCCGGTTCCATCCCCGGCCACCGGCGAGGGTCCCACATGGCACGCAGACCTCTCCTGCCGCCCACTGCTCCCCTCAGCAGTGTACTTCATCAGTCTGCCTGTTCTGTTCCCCGCTCTGACTCTGTTAAATTCTCTCACCCTCCTGTGCTTCTGACTGTACCCAGTGCTTGTATAAATAAATAAATAAATCTTTAAAAAAAAAAAAAAAGGAAAAGGCAAAACTTTTTGCAGATAATTTGAACTTATATGTAGAAAATTCTAAGGAGTTCACTTAAAAATATGTTAGAAATAATAAGTAGGTTTAGCAAGGGTGCAAAATAGAAGATCAACGTAAAAATATCAATGTATTGATGGAAGATCAATTGGATTTCCCTAGAGGAGCAATGAACAAACTAAAAAAGGTAATTAAGAAATCAACTCCACTTACAGGAGCATAAAAATCACAAAATACTTGGGAATTGATATAATAAAAGAAGTGCAGAACTTACACTATGGAAACTAAAAAACACCATGTAAAAATCTAAGGAAAACCTAATGAGTGCCTGGCAGGAAGCGAGGCGCTAACAGGTCTGGAAGCAGGGTGGTGTGGAAAGGGGGCGCTGACAGAACGCACCCAGTGCAAGGTGGAGAGCCTCTGGTGTTTTGAAGCCTGGGTAGGCAATCCTTTTCAACTCCTTGGGCTTCCAGCTGCACAGATTACCCCCAGCTTCTGTTTTCTGCTCTCTCCGAGCACTAGAGAAGCAGACACTCCAGTTCTTAGCTCATTGCCGCCACCTGGTGGTACTATAGGAGACCACTGGGCAGAGGACCCAAATGGAACTCACCCTGGGGGTGCAAACTCCCCTTCCAAGTGGCCTCTGACCTGATCCCAGATACCCTGCCCCCAGCCAAACACCAACCTTTGCTCCAGTCAAGGTCTGATCCACGACTTTGAGCAAAGACTGGCCTAGACCAGCGATTTCATCAATATGTGCCTGGCCGCAAGAGGACCATGGGCTGGTTTGCGGCAGCCCCTCCATGGCAGAACTTGTCATGGGAATTGCTGGCCAGCATCAGAGAACACAAGGTCAGCAGCACCCACGGAAGTGTTCACTCACTTTGGGGTGTTTGCACACAGCTGCTCCCTCCCACTCCGACACCCTCCTCTGCCCTAGCAGCCAGCCAAAATTCACTAGACCAGAGAAGACAAGAATTAGGCAAGTCAGTGGCTCCATACTGAGCCCACAAGTCCAGTGACTAGAATGGCTGGCGTGGGGAGCATGTGACAGAATACTGGGGCCATGACTGGCAGGAGGGCATATTTTTCTACATAGCCTGAAAATCAGATTTTTATATGAAATCTAGACTCTTAGGGGAATCTTCTGATTTTTATAATTTAATGAGCTATTCAAAAGCAATTTTTAACTGAGCAGGACTTCGGGCAGGGCGGATGTGCACAGGTCCTGAGCTGACAGTCCCCTAGCATCACTGGTTAAACACTAAATGCTTCCCTGTGCTCATTAAAGAGGCCCAGTTCAGGATCCTGTTGAACTGAGGGACCCACCCACCAAATTGATTCTGAACCAGGTGTTCCAGGGCCTCCCTGGACCCAGAAACTAGAGGGTTCACGCCTACCCCCACAGGGTTCCAGGACAGGGTGTTCATTCAGACTGGTCACATGGCCCCAGAGCAGCAGCTGCTGTTAAATGCTCCAAATACCAGCCCTGCACACAGCTCACCAAGCACTGCAGAACCAAGCAGGGGTGAGGCGGGGCCGGACGCTCCTCCCTTCCAGGGATCAGCCCCTCTTCCAGAAGTGAAGTGACCAAGAGCATATTTCATCCCTGGGGCCTCCCCATCACCTCACCCCCTTGACAGCAGCAGCTTGGGCTCTCATAGGGTAGGCTCACCTGGCGGTAGGTGCAGATGATGATTTCCCGAAGGTGGTAGTGCATGGGCGTCATGGTCTCGCTGACAGTGTCCAGTGCCGCATCCACCTCCTTCTTCACGCGGTGCCCATCGGGCAACAGCTGCACCATTTTCATCACCACCTGGGCCACAGGAAGAGGGTGAGCAGAGAGAAAACTAAGGCAGGCAGGAGGGAATCTGGTCCCAGCAAAGGCTCACCCCTACACTAATGGCCACACAGATCATTCTGGGTACCCTCCTCACCCTACTACCAGTGACCCCAAAGTTCTACCAGTGAGGACTGGGCTGCTCCTGCTCATCCTATAGCCCACTCCTCATGCAGGCACCAGCCACTCCTCCCCACTCCCCCCTCCACACAACCGGCCTCTCAGAGTAACAGTCTTATCATGACCTCCATACTGGCCTCAAGGTCGAGGTTACACATAGTATGGCCCTCCAGAGTTCTCACAGTTCCAGTACCCACCCACCTTAGCACCACCTACTAATGCTCTGCCAGTCACAACCTTAACACAACTCCTGCCCTTTCCAGATTGCACACTTGTCCCCTCAGCACATTCCCCCTCCTCATCCACACTTAAATGTTACCATCTTCATGACCCTCCTGGCTCCCCAGAATCAGCCTCGGAACTCAAAACTGATGTCAATTTCACCCTCTTCACACCTATGAAGTAAATCCCTATTGAACTATGGATTCAAAAAGCCTGAAATAACTGCAAAGGAAGCTATTCCAGACATGAGAATTTCTTGGGCTCGGTGCAGATGGGTACAAGGGTGTCGTCAACCACCATAATGTTACTTTGGAACATAGTCTCTAAGGTCCATTACCTGCCTTCTATCCCAGCCCATGACCTCCGATGTGGCTCCAGGGGTATGAGCTTGGCTCCCTATGCCTCAGTTTTCTCATCTGTCAAGTGGGAATAGTAAAGGTACCTAGCTCTTGACAGCTGTGAAGGATGAGCTCCTAGCATGGGGCCAGATATACGTAGAGAGAGTTCTATCACATCTGAGGACTGCCGTAAAGACTAACAATTCAACTTGCAAATAAACCCTCATTTTTGTAATCAAATGATTTTCAACAAGGATGCCAAGACCATTCAATGAGAAAAGGACAGTCTTTTCAACAAATGGTGCTGGGAAAGTGATACACTCATGCAAAAGAATAAATTTACACATATCCAAATATTAACAGGATATCTAAATACTAGCAGCAAATATTACACTAGAATGGATTCAATGAGCTAAACGGAAAAGCTAAAACTATAAATCTCTGAAAAGAAAACATGGGAGGATGACACTGCATTTGCCTGAGTTCGTGAATATGACACCAAAAAAGCACAGGAAATAAAGAAACAGACACATTGAATTTCATCAAAATGTAAAACTTAAAAAAAAACAAAGGAACTGACAAAATGAAATCAAAACAAACCTTAGAAATATGACTGCAGAATTGAGGATGTTTAGGCAGGGAAGGAGGATGCAGTGGGACAAGGGTGGGTGAAGGGCCCCGTGGCCTAGGGTAAAAGAATGTGGATTCTTGACTGGGGTGGTAAGTAAAATACATCTAGAAGGTGTAAAAGTATTGCATACAGTGTCGTAAATCAATGTCACCTCAATACAGATATACAATTTTAAAAACATTTAAAACTTCTGCATGAAAGGACATTATTGACCGAGTAAAAAGACAACCCATAGAATGGAAAAAAATATATTTGCAAATCACATTATCTAACAAGGCATTTATATCCAGAACATATAATGAATTCCTATAACTCAACAACATCAACAAAAAAGTCCAAACCAAAAATGGGTAAAGGACTTGAACAGGAATGTCTCCAAAGAAGATAAACAGTGGCCAATAAGACACTCAGCATCACCAGTCATTAGGGAAATGCACATCCAACCCACAATGCGGCACCACTCACACCCACCAGGATGACCACCAGCACAAAAACACAAAACAAGTGTCAGCAAGGAGGGGAAGATACTGGAACAATGAAAAATGGTGCGGCTGCCTTGGAAAAACAGTATGGCCACATCTCAAAAATTAAACAGGATTAACAGTTGATCCTGCAATTCCATTTCTGGAATTAAAAGTAAAAACTCAAGCAGATATCTGCACTCTCGAGTTCACAGCAGCGTTATTCACAACTGCCAAGAGGGGAAGACAGCCCAAGGGTCCATCAATGGTGACTGGAAATCCAAAATGGGGTTTATGCACAGAATGGAATATTACTCAGTCTTACAAAAGGAAATGCCAACACATGCGACAGCATGGACGAAGCCTGAGGACATGTTTATTTCACATGCTATGTGAAATAAGCCAGTCATGGAAGGACAAATGCAGTGTGATTCCACTTATATGAGGTATCCAGAGACGTCAAGTCCACAGAACTGAAAGTAGAACGGCAGTTACCAGGGCCGGGGAGGAGGGAAGTTAGTGTTCAACAGTCCAGTCATTTTGGGAGGATGGAGAAAGTTCTGGAGAAGGATGGTGGTGATGGCTGCACAACTAAGCGAATGTACTTAGTGCCACAGAACCGCACCCTCAAAAATGTTAAAAATGGAAAATTTTGTACTAAACATTTTACCACAATAATAACAGAAAATAATCAGTGAATCACCCAGGACAATAAGAGAAAAGAGGCCAGGGCAAGGGAACAGCATAGGCAAAGGCTCAGCGGCTGAAAGAGCTTGGGGAACTTAAGGAACTACACAAAGGGCGGGGTAGCAGGGAGGGCAGGTGATGGGCGCATGGCTGGCTGGGTAGACAGGTGCCAAGCACCATGCCAACAACCAGCAGCTACACGCCCAGCTCTGAGCTCCATATTTCCCACCTGTAAGATGGGGACATTGTCACCTACTTGTTTGGGAAGATGACATGTGATTGGTGCACATGAAGCAGTCATGACTAAATCGGAAATGTCCATCCAGCACCATGAGGTGAAATGGAACAGGGGCATGGGGGCAGAAGCCTGCACCATGAGCAGCTGGATCCCAGGTTTCTAGGAGGCCACTGGGTTATGGCCAACATAACCCAGACCAGAGGGTGGCCTCCCAACAGCCACACAGCAGCCCAGCAGCAAGACCCGTGAGGTGGGGGTCCAGCCCCACCTCCAGTGGCTATTTGCCATGGCCCCAGAGCTAAGCCGCCCCACACCTTGGCTTGCTCTTGCGTGAAACAGGAATAGGGAAGCACTGGGATGACGAGGTCGACAGCACTGGGGACAGCTTGGAAGATTCCCCAGACCTGCCAGCAAGATTCACCCTCTCCCCTCCCGCAGGCATCTCCTGGGGCCCCATAGGGAGGGCTCACCTCAAATTCGCCTTTGGTGAACTTGGCATCAGGCACGCTCACCAGCTCCTCCTCGCCGACCTCGGGGAAACCCTAAGGAGGACAGCTGTTGGGGTGGGGAGCACTCCTCTCCTATGTCGGGAGCCGCATACCAATGGTCTGCCAGTCCCGGTTGCCCTACCCGGGATTGGTGGCAGGGGGTTCCTGGACCACACCAAGGACCACCTCTGCCCCCACACCTTCCAATAGCCAGTGTCCACAGGGACAAGTGCCCACGCTGCCTAGGTGACCCCTGTCCTCTCACGAGAGGTCACACGTACTCGGATGTGCCAGAAGGTGAGCACAGCCACCACCATGGCAGTGGTGGTCCGGCCCTGGCCGCTGAGGCAGCTGAACACAAAGCCGGTGCCTGAGTCCTTGGCGAGGGCAGCCCTCAGGGCCACCAGCAGTCGGTCAAAATCCTGTGTGAGGAGATCAAGGTGTGGGTCAGCAGCCGCTCCTGCTGCGCAGACCCCCAAAGTGGCCGCCCCTCCAAATGCAACCCCAGCAGCTGTCCTGGGAGTGCTCTCCCCGGGCCTTCACTGCCAGGCTCACAACCTTGTACGCTCACACTCCACTCACTGAACACACGCAAGTCCCTGTGTGTGTGAATACAGCACCCCTGTGTGCAGTTGTAACCCCACCCCAGGGACCAGGACTGGACATGTGAGCCAGCACACACACTGGGGGATCACGATGTCCACTGTCCACTGGGTAAGACACCCTTCCATGTGCTGCACCCCCTAGGCTGCACATGGACCCCCTGGATCTGTGCCCACCTAGACGGGACCCAACCTAGGTCCCAGGCTGAGCACAGGTCTCAGCCTCAGCCCATCGCAGCAGAGCACGGCCACCAGGGGGCAACCACGGGCAAGGAGACCCGCTGGCAAAGTGAGGCCAGAACTCAAGCCCCAGCCTCCACCTGCCACACGGAGACGTGACACAGGCCCTGCACATGCCAGGCACAGACACACAGGCCACCCAAACCACATGTATGACACAGGCACACACCGTATCCACAACCTAAGGACACACAAACGACGCAGACGCCCATGAAGACACCAACCTGCAGATACCACGAGGACACCCAACCCCCCTCAGGCACACACAGCATTCCACACACCCTCCTCCACAGAGCCCGGATGCACGCCACACCACACGACTCCCCAGAAGACACTCTCTCCACACGTGCTCTCCCCCAGTGAAGACAAAGTGTTCGTCACAGACTCCACAAAAAATACTCGCACCACACATACACACACTTCACAATGACATGACACCCGCTCCCAACACAATCCCCAGCAAAGATACACACACCATGAACACTATGGACGTGCTCGCCTGAGCACATGACCTACAACACATGACAAGCACATGACAAGCACCCAAGAATACACACGCAAACAAGAAACTTGGACACAGTGTGAGTAAAGCACTTGGTCAAACTCGAAACCCCCAACCCCTCCTAGGAGCCCACGGTCCAGAGGGGGTGGAGCAGGGAAAGGCCTCCTTTCCCTGCCCAGAGGGTCACCTTGGCATGGCCCCTCACCTCTTCACAGGGGGCACAGAAGTCTGGCAGTGGGATGCGGTGGTAGGTGAGACCAGGACAGGCCCCCCGGTGCTGGCTGAAGACCTCCTGCATAGTGAGGCACGTCTGGAACTTGTGGGTGCGGGGGCTCTCTGTGCCTGGGAGAGGCTTACTCAGGTAGGTCTTCAGCTGGGTCTCCAGGCTCTAGAGTGGGTGGGACAGAGGACAGCGGCCACTGAGGCAGCCTGCAGGCCAGCTCTGAAAAATGGGAGCCTGCTCTGGTCAGGGCCAGTCCTGGCTTCTGGGAGCATCTCTTCCCCTTCCTGAGCCTGGGGGTCAGACCCAGACTTGGACCAGGGAGGTGGCCTGACGCACATCCTGAGTCAGCCACTCCCTGGCACAACTCCCATCAGGGCTTGGCTTCTCCATCAGGAGCAGCAAACCTTCTGAAGATCCTCACAGGCCAGTGCCCCAGATGGCCTCCAAGGAAGGGGCGTGCAGAAGGCAGAAGGGCTCACCTCCAGCTGGTCAGGGGTTACAGGGGGCCCAGGCTGCCACAGGCTGCGGGTGTGCCCATCACACTCCAGCACGGCCTCCTCTCTCAGGTTCACCCACACGATGTGCCGCAGCTTCCTCTTGGCGTCGGTCAGGTAGGCCAGGATACTCCCCAGGGCCTGGGGAGACAGGAATATGGTCAGTGAAAGGGCTCGACCCTCCTGCTCCTACCCCAGGCCTCTAGGATGGTTACCTTGGCACTGGGCTGGGCCGTGCCATAGATGGGCATGCGGGGCACCCGCCGAAAGTTCGCCACGTCCATCTCTCTCAGAGTGCCGAGTGCGTCTGGGGATACGAGATCGTCCACCTTCTGCGGGGAGAGCAGCAAGCCTGGGACCACACCCGCTGACACGGGTCCAGAGCCTGGTCCCAGAGGGGCAGGAAGGGGTGGGACCGGCTCCTTTTGCACACTAGGAACTTTACCAGTGCCCCAAGGAGAAGAAGAATGGCCTCCACTCTCCAGAAGAGGAGGCTGAGGCTCAAAGACCAGCCCATGCCCATTCCCATCCTCCCAGCCAGCCAGCCACACTCACCAGGGAGCCCTTGGCCATGAGGTCCCTGGGGGCCACTGGCCCCACTGAGGTCAGCGTCACAGGCAGACGGTACAGCTCAGGGTGGGCACACAGCCAGCGGCTGAAACTGATGGCAAAAGCCAACGGGTACTGCAGCCCAAGGCGGAAAAAGACGAGTTCAGGGTCACAGGGCCATCCCAAGCTCCCCCCACCGCAAGGTAGGGGAGGCCAAGAGACACCCATCAAGCCCAGAGCAGGAATGAGGGGGAGGGAAACTCGGACCAGGACATCCAAAGCAAGAGCCAACCAGGACCTGATGCCCAGTGGGTACAGAGAAGGGGCCCAGTGATGGGGCCTTCTTTTGTCTGCCACGGACCACCCCTCTATCTGGGTCTCTCCTTGCCTCTCCCATATAGCCTTCCTCTGGAAGCCCCAGGTTCATGGGGTTTCCCTGTAGGCTCCCATGCCAGTCATCATGGTATGGAGGCCTGGAAGGAGAAAGGATCATGGCTCTGTCCAGATCCTCTGGAGAAAGGATCGTGGCTGCCCACCCCCAGTCTCACCTGCTCATGGAGATAATAGTTAAACAGGATCAGGTAGAAATATCGCTCCAGGCTCTGCAGCGCCCTCTGCTGGACACCATTCTGGCTGTCACTTCCCTGAAAAGAGGGGAACCGATAGGAGAATGGAGCAATTAAGATTGGAGCTGCTTAGAAGAGCCCCTAGCTCCAGCCAGGAGGGCACAACTGGGCCTCAGAAATCCCCAGATACAACCTACCCCTCCCTTCATAACACAGTTCTGCCCAACTAGAAATTCTCCAAGCGTCTAACCCTACTCCACTTGCCACAGTAAATCCAGGATGCAGGAAAAAGCTGTTGGTGGCTGTACCAGGCACTACAGTTCTGAGTGTGGGGACTGCCGCCCCCACAGGCTCTGTACCCAGAAACAGGTAGAGCACCCCTCCCCTACTTTGCTCCGAGATCACCAACATACAGGGCTACGCACTCACCGTGTTAAAGCAGCAAGTGTATAAACACCCTTGCCTGAGCCAGAGTCCTCACTTAAGAACCACGACCTCCCCACCAGAAGAGAAAAAGACCCCACATCACATCAGTGCTCCCAGGGGACACAGGATCTCCAAGGAGAAAGAGGCCCAGAGAAATGAACTGACTCACTCAAAGCCACACAGCTGATGGCAGACAGAGCTGGGTCCCCAACTAAGGATCCTAACTCCAGGCCATCAGCCTCTGAGTAGAGGATTATTGAGAGACTCTCAGGGGTCCTTGTCTCAGCCTTCAGGGTTCTGCTGGGTCAGTGCTGCCGTCTAAAGGGCAAGTGAAATTTATATGCCCGAAGAAAAGGTCATGCCCACAGATGAACTTAAACCCCATCTCTGGGAATCTACATCAGGGGTTGAGAAACTTTCTATATGAGGCCAGACAGTAAATATTCCAGGCTTGCAGGCTCCATGGTCTCTGTTACAATTGCTCAATCTTTCATTTCAACATAAGGGAGCTGTAGACAGGACATAAATGAATGGGCAGGACCATGTTCCAATGAAACTTATTTACAAAATCACGTGGCAGGCTGGATTTGGTCCATGGCCATAGTTTGCCAACCCCTAATCTAGGCTAAAGGGAAAAAATCCCCAATACACAAAAGCCTTATTTTCATGAAGCTGCTCGATACAAAAGTATATATACTGATGAGGAACTGGAAGCAACTCAACTGTTAGACAAGATAGGCCTGTTTAGTAAATCCTGGCAGGTGATGTGCCAAGAACACCTGCTGCATGTCAGGCTCCCTTCTGAGTTCTTTAGTAATTTATTTCACCTAATCCTCATAACCACCCAAAAGGGACATTATTAGTGGCTCCACTTTACAAGTGAGGAAACTGAATCACAGAGCGGTAAAGCTGGCTGCCCGCCCGCACACACCCTCAGCGGCAGGCCAGGAGTTGAGCCCAGGCAGTCGGGTCAGGTCAATGCTGTCTGAGCCACACACTGGACTTAAGTCACACAACCAACCAAAATCCCAAAGATGACAACCAGGGGGTGACATGGGGTAGCAGAACACACACCTGTGCCAGGGCACTCTCCGCAGAACCCCATAAACAAAGCATGAAGGAAGCCATTCCTGAAAGCTCACAGCAGCTGTGCTGGGATTATGGGTCCTTTTTAGCCTTTATCTAAATTCGCAATTTTCTATTATTGGTTTTAAAAGATGCTTTTTATGTATTAAAGCAGAAAAAAAGCTCTGCAAGCTTTAATTCTTTCTGTGCACTGTGTGCAAACACTGTCAAGCCTCTCCCCAGGACGTGGGTCAGCCCTGTTGAGACAGCCCAGAGTCCATCACTCTTCCAGAAGCAGCAGGCTGGACCCCACCCAGCCTTCTGAAGTAACACCAAGCATTTTATTTGCCGGGAGCTCTAAGCAGTCTGCAAAGTATTAGATCTCGACACCCGCCAGCAGCCCCTTCCTCCATCCTGTTTATTCTGCAGCGAGGGGACCTGGCCAGGGAAAGTAAACTTCCCCCCTTCCTTGTCCATCCTTCCTGCAAGTCCAACTCTATCTCCCCTTCCTCTGAAAACTGCTCTTCTCCTGGGAGAAGAAACAACCAGGAAACGTCAGCCTGAAAGAAACCAGCCGCCGGTCTAGCGAAATGGGGCTGCCGGCTCGGCCAAGGCAGAAGCACCCAGGCCTCACCTGAGCTGGGCTTCCTGGCCCGACGCTGTCCAGCTTCCTCTGGTTTTCCAAGACCACTTCCTTCAGGTCCTGCAACTCTGCACAGGCGGTGATGGCTCTGTCCACCTGGTACCAGGGACCAGGACAGGGCCGCAGGAGCGGCAGCAAGGAGAGGACAGGGGCAGGGCACGAGAGCAGGGGAGGGAAGAGATGAGAGGGAGGGAAAGAATGATTGGCCAAGAAGGGAGAGGGGACACAAAGGGAGGAAGCGACCCCATGGAGGAGTGATGTTCCCTCCACTGCCCCTGCCCCAGCTGTGTGTCCAGCCCCCTGGCTCACCTCCTCCATCATCTTCCTCCCCTGGGGCACCATGTGGAGAAAGTTCTGGATCACCAGGAGTTGCTCCATGGGGAGTGGCTTGGTCTGTGAGGAGACAGCCCTGCAAAGCAGAGGGCGCAGTGTGATCAGCTCTCCCAGAAGCCTCTAGGATGGCCCCACTGCACCCCTTCCCATTCATATGGCCTCTAGAGTCACCTGACTACAGGTTCCTAGTGTTCATTCCAAATCAGGTTAGGAGCAACAAGGGGTGTTTTCCCCTATGGGAAACGCCAAGAAACGCCTAGAAACGCCAAGTGACTTTCTCAAGTCACTGGCAAGTCTGACAAACAAGGAAACGAACCCCAGAGGCCCAATCTCCAGTCTGGCTCTGGACTCCCGATAAATCCCATCATTCAGGGCTGCCCCGACCCTCCTCTCCTTGTCCCTGCAACCCCTTGGAACACTGGATCCCAGGCCACTCACTCCGGCCTCGAGGCAGTCCCACTGTGGTGTAACAGGATGAGGGTGCCCAGGACCATGCCCAGGTTGGTCCTGCCCACACCCGTCTGGCAGCTGAAGAGGAGAGCAGGGGGAGGCCCATGGGCGTCTCGGAGCAGCAACAAGCTGGGGGTCTCCTGGGGCAAGATCAGCAACATCATGACCGGAAAACCCTTGGTGAGGACCCAGTCGCGGTTGTAACATCAGCCCACCCCACCTCACAGTCTGCAACAAGGTGAGGCCTACAGGCCTCAGCTTCTTCCCCATAGCCTGGTCTGCTCCATCTCCCCCCCAGCAGAGTAGCATAAGGCCTGCCTCCTTCCCAGACTGGGCGGGTGGGGAGTAGGAACTAGGAGTAGGTAGGTGGGGGTAGACGTGAGAGTGGGGGCACTCAGTGAGGCCTTGGAAGTGAGAACTGCTCCAGGAGACATGGCCTTAACACCTCCTGTGGGATGAGAATTAAATAATGCAAATTCAATAATGAAGGAGTTGGGACAGAAACACCCCAGGAAACATCAGACATCAGCCCTAAAGAGACTACAGAGTGAGAATGTCCAACTCCGGTAAAGAAAACAGAACTAGAAGCCTAGAGAGGGCAGGAGATTTGTCCAAGGCCACACAGCCAGTTAGCAGCCAAGCCAGGGCCAGAGTCCTGCCCTCCAGATGGTCAGTGCTGGACTCACAAGGACTCTGCCATTAGAGAATGCAGACACCCACACAGATACCCACACCACTGACAACTGGACCCCACACACCACACCGAATGAGGCCTGTCTCTGAGCAACATCAAAGAAACGTTCACGCCCACCATGAACATCTCTGTGGAGACAGATCCTAGACACAGACCAACTCTCCAGGCAGGTACCCACTCCCCCGGTGCCCCCGTAACCCCTCCCTGGCCCCACTTACCCGGAGGACACTGACAAAGGCATCAAACTGGGCTTCCAGGGGGGCTCCTTGCTCTGGCAAGGGCAGGCGGTAGTACCTGCTAGGTGAAGGGAAACAGCCCATCAAGCAGGCCACACCCCCCTGGAGAGCCCCCAGTACCCACCTCTCCCAGTACCTGGGGTCCCTGGAGGCCCAGAGCCATCTGGACTGGCCCACAGTACCTGTAGGTGGGCTGCAGGAAGAGGGGTCGTCTATACACCTCCTCCGTCACGTGCACATCATCCTCACCCCGGATGGTTACAGCATGGGGCTCCCCTTGCAAGTCCTCAGTATTGTGGTACACGTGGTACGTGTTCTCGCTTAGCTGGGCAAAGTCATGGATCTAATGGAGGTGTGGGGGCCAGAGAGTCAGGAGGGGCCTTGAGCTCCCTCTCAACCTTCCTGGCTGAGCTCTGAAAGGACTAGGCCACACAAAGACCAGGGACAAGCTGCCTTTCCTCCAGGGGGATCTACAGGGCCCGAGGCACTCTCTATGCCCTGGGAGCGCTAAGGGGGCAGGCTGGCCACCGACCCGAGGGCAGCCCCCTACACAGGCGCTGACACGGCCCACACCGAGGCTCAGTCAGCTGGGAGCTAGGAAAAGGAGGCCTGCAAGGGAGATGACCAGTGGCCAGCATGGCCTTGTTTCCTGACCGTGGGAGTCTCTGGGGCACCGTGCCCCACTATGGTCAACTTATACTCCTTCATGGTGTGTCAATAGCCTCCAAGACCTTGACAAGTCTCCCTGCTGTGGAGGAGGAGGGCAGAGGAACCTCAGAAACAGACAAGAGCCCGAGGAGAAAAGTGACTCACCTCGGGCCCAGAGCTCATCTCCACCTCAGTCTCAGGACTCCCAACCTAGCCCGCTTTTCACGTCCCCAGACCACTTTCTAAATAAGGATGCAGAGTGTGGAGAAGAGCAGAGTGGGGAAGGGTTAGCAAACAGTCAGGAAAAGAAAGTCATCCCTCTGGGTACACATGAGTAGTTATAAGGTCAGCCACTTGCCCAAGCAGGGCAGAAACACCAGCAGGTTAAGGAGAGGGGTATGGAGGTCAGCAAGGACCAGAAAGGACGAAAGCAAAACTGGGCTGTGGGTGGGGGTCTCAGCTCAGCCGCCTGAGGCCCACCAAGGAATGGGGGGCCCCCACCCCACCAGCCCTCACCTCCTTCCTGATGGCCAGCTCCAAGCTCTCCACCCCACCTCCAGATCCGAGACCCTGAAGGTTCTCTCGAAGGTTCCGCTTATCTCGAGGGGTGTAGGGCACAAAGTCCTCCTCAGTGTGCAGAAACAGCACGGGTTCCTCCCGCACACAGAAGATGATGCATTCCTGCCAGAGCCCCAGGAGAGAGGACACCATCACCACCGGCAAGGACACCCTGCCCAGCACCCAGCCTTGGACCGGTCCATGCACCATTCTTCAAGGCCCATCACCCCGCCCTGTCCCTACAACCTGAATCCTATCAAAGAAGCAAAGCTAAGTCCAAATGTTACCTCATCCCGATGCTCCCTCCTCTCAGAGCCAACAGTCCTTCATCTGAATCCCATTCATTCTTGCTTTGCATTAACATTATCAACGAATACATCTTTTCTCCCTTCACAACGATTCCTCACAGGTAGGATCATGTCCCAGTCATTTTCATGACCCCCCACCCCATTTCCTAGCACAGAGCCTGGATAAATCAGGGGCATAGTAGACATCAGCTGAAGTAATGAATAACCCCACAACAATGCAATCATTCATTCACTGGGCACTGAACAGGCAGAGGGACAGCCATGGGCAGGTATGTGAGCACAGGAGGAACTGGCAGTAAAGCTGGGAAGACGGAACCCGCACACCCCAACACACCCACCCCACACTGGTTCACAGAGGTCTCTCCATCAGATCAGGTGCAGGCTGCTCCCAAGTCTGCAGTCACAGAGGGCCCTCAGCCTGTGTCCTGGAGACACTCAAAACTCTGCCTTGACTTCAGGCAGAAGAGAGGAGACATTAAAAGCAGGTACTCGGAGTCCAGATGTCTGGGTTTGGGTTTTGGGACACACTCATGAGTGTGTACCTTCTTTCTGGGCCTCAATTTTCCTCTCTGTAAAGTGGGAGGAAAACTGCCCCCACCTTGAGGTTGACATGAAGATACAAGAGTTAGCAGTGACGAGTATCCTCTAGTTCTCTCATAATAGCCTGACCCCTCTGGTCACCCCATCACCCTCCTCACTTTTTCAGACCTTCTCAGAGTAGAATGTAGAGGCTTCTGACCTCAGGGTTCCCCTGTCCACACGGGAGGTGCAATAAACATTCACCCAGAATTTCCCAATCATGCAGACCACAATGGCCACCATGGCATTCAGGGTCTGGCAGGGCCTGGTCCAGACACCCTGCCCAGGCCAGGCCCTACCGTAGTCTCTGAAGATACCCCTCCCAAGAACAACCCCCCTCCAGATCTGGGAGACTAGTCCGTGGCTGGAAATGCTTGTACTCACTCTGTGTCCATCCTTTTGGAGTTTCTGGAGGACCCGCCTGAACCCTGAGAGACTGGGCTGTCCCATGCCAAACACAGTGAGCCCGCCCTGCACCTGCCGGAAGTTGGGGGCCCCACAGCTTTTCACTGTGCCCAGCACGTCCATCTTCTCAGCAACATCCCGCACCAGGAAATAGCGTCCCTGGCAGAAGGAAAGCCATAGGGAGGGTCACTCAGATGACTCAGGGACAGTCTACAGGTGGGGCTCTGTCCTGGGTCCCAGGGTACAGGGAGCAGGAAGCGGGGAGTGTAGAGAAGATTGGAAATTGAAAACAAATTACATGAACGCCTATGATCTCAGGAAGGGTGTCAGAGTGCAGGAAAATGAAAGACAACTCTTCCTGAGGGGATATCAGGGAAGACTTCATGTAAGAGGTGGCATCTGAGCCAGGTCTCAAAGTAAGAGAGCAGGAAACCAGGGGCAGGAAACCAAAGGTGGCTCTAGGGGGCATGCAGCTGCTAGGAGGAAAGCACCCCCAGTGAAAGTGCATGAAGAAGGGGCCCCAGTAGGGACTCATAGCTGGGGCACCAGGTATCAACCAGAGGAAATCTGTGTTAGCCATTGCATAAGGCCTTGCAGTTCTGAGTGTATAAAGGCCTTCCCTCCCCACCCCCACAACAGTAGGGGCAAACAGATGCTATGACTGCAAAAGAAAGAGGAAGACAGGACTTAGGGATCAGGTGAGAGCAAGAGGAACCTCCTCCAGCTCACTCATGGGCAAAAGGAGGTGCTGAGGCCACCCTGTCCACACCTTGTTCCAGCAGAACCCACACCTACATTGCCTGATAGATAAGAAGTGGTACCAGTTCTCCCAAAAACCAGAAATTCCCAGCAACTCTTTCAACAAGTTCAGTTTAACCATGATGCTTCAGTCATCCATTTATTGAACATTTATTAAGCACCTACATGGTGCCCAAGCACTGTTCAGCAGTGAACAGGACAGATCTGTCCTCGTGGACTTTGCTTTCCGGGGACATTTAAGGGGAAAGGGGGGAAACCTAAGTCAGAGAAGTTCTAAAACTTCAAAAGAGAATGGGATGGAGATTTCCAGCTTGTGGGGAGCAGCCTGGGGTCCGGGGTCTTCAGTTCCCATCTCTCTTCTCCCTGGTGCTCTGAGGAAGGGGGTGTGGGCAGGGTGGGGCAGGCAGAGGGCGAATGAGAAGAGAATAGCAAGGGAGTATGACATAGCAGGAGAAATGGGCCCCAGGGAACTAACAGTGAGAGAAAATAGGATCAGGACCCTGGAGTGTGGGGTGAGGCAGTGAAGCAGAGAAGGGGGGAGGTTAGGGAGGGAGAAGGACAGGAGGGTGGGGAGAGTTAGCAAGGGGGAGAGGAGCTGGAAGGGCTGGGGCGGGCCTCACCTGCACCAGGTAGTGCTCAGGGGTGGCATCAGAGAGCCGGCCCAGTGTGTAATGGGCCTTGAGCAGCTCATCATGGATCTGGAATTCCTCCTTGCAGTTGTATCTGCCGAGGGGAGAATGGAGACCAAGTCAGACAAGCTCCGTGGCCAGGCTCAGCCCCACCCTCACCGGATCCTACAGCAGGGCCACAGCACACCCACCTATGCAAATAACCCATTTATGGCAGAGACTGCCTATTGTCCCTCAGTATCCACTCTCCCTTTCTTCCTCAGTAACAGAACCCCAGAATTGTGCCGGGGCATCCAGTTAAAGACTACATTTCCCAGCCTCCTTTGCTACTAGTGGCCAAGTGATTAAGTCTGGCCAATGAAATGTGAGGAGAAGTAGTGTGTGCAACTTCTAGGGCATTTCCTAAAAGGGGAGACATACGCCTTCCACTTTTCTCTCCTCCCTGGATAACCCCCAGATGCGATGGCAGAAAATAGATGTTGATGACGGCAGGACAACGAGAGATGAGAAATCTGGTGGAACATGTAGCGTCCATACCAGCCTGGAGCATCTCCTGGACTTTTTCGAGAAAAGCTTCTATCTTGTTTGGAAGAGCTTGTAATAGGATTTTGTTTATCTCATTCAGTGGTTACTTTGATCCCAAATGGACCCTCCATCAGATCATCTCTGAGAACAACCCCCCAACACACTGACAATTTGGGGCCACATGGTCTGGGCACAAGTCCCACTCCACGGCCTGGTAAGTTCATGGCTGTGGAATAATTCTCTCTACGCCCAGTAATTCCCACCTCCCAGGGCTGTTGTGAAAACTCAATGTGCTAATGAACGTGCTTCGCCCAGCACTCTGGGCACAGAAAGCATTTATTAGTATATTTACTATTGCCAGTAGTAGTTGTAACCCCCACAGGGGACCATTTCAAACAAAACCCACAGGAGCAAATCTAGAGTTCTGTAGATGCCAAACCAGGGGGAGATCTTACACTCAAGACACCAAAAGCTACTGTGCTGATTATAACTACGAAGACACAGTCTTCCGGAGCACATAAGCCATGTTTATCACCCTCCTTACAAAACTCCTGCCTTTAGGAAAGGGAGGGTGGTGGGATGGGGGGAGGGGGCAAGCAATAGGCAGGAGTCGGGAGACCTGGATTCCTGCTGCCAACGCTGCCTCCATTTCACCACATGATCTACCATCCTGAAACTCAAGTTTTTAATCTAGATCAGTTTTCACTTCTGATCTAAAAGGTCTTAAATCGGAGTTGGCAAATCTTTCATACAAAAGACGAAAGACCAGATAATGTTTTACACTCTGCACCATAAGTTCTCTTACAACTACTCAACTCCACCAGTGTCCACAGTGTAAATGAAGGGGAGTGGCACTGTTCCAATAAAACTTTATTTACAGAAACAGGGGATGGCGCAGATTTGGCCTGTAAGATAGTTTGCCGATCCCATTATTAGAGGATCTCTAAGATCCTTTCCACCTCAAACATGCTACAATCCAAAGAGGGCCGCACTTGTGACAGCTCAGAGTGGCAGGCACGATACCACCATAGAAGGTTTCACTGCAAGGCGGCAACTAATCTGAGTCACAGCACTGGGTTAAATGTTTTGAATGTCATCTCTACCTATCCTGATAAGGAAACTAAGACCCAGAGAGGTGAAAAGGATTTGCCCAAGGTCACAGAGCAAGGGAGAGGTGAAGCCAGGCCCAGGACAAATGAATGTCTCTAACACTGCCTTCAAGACCCAGGCCTAATTTTATCATCTGTTAATAGACAGACTCCATATCAAGTCTTTTATATAATCTCTTTTGCCCTTACTGTGATGAGCACAGTAATATATTATGATTACAAATTTTACTGTCAGTCCACCGAAACCAGCAGGCCAGATTTCGTCATTCCCACCCCTCAGATTTCCTTACACAAAAGGCCCTGTTTGCTAGGTCTCTGCCAAACTTCTATGTATGGAACTGATTTAATTCTTAGCTCATCACATCCTACTTCCTGCACCCTGGAGGGACTCAGAGGCAGGGAGCACAGTGGGTAGATGTGATATAAGACACGGCTTCCTGACTCACCAGGAGACAGAGCCTCAGGCCCCACAAGGCAGACAGGGTTTCAGAGCCCCCTTCCTGACCTTCTTCCTCTGGACACAGAGTACAGTTCCAGGTCTCTCAAAATATGATGCCAGAATAAACCCTCAACCTCCTCCAACCTCCTCCTCTACGAACATCCCTGAAGGACCTAATTAGGAGAGTCAACCAATAGCTTCCACTTTTTTCAGCCCAAAATCTTTTAATGGCCTGGTGTTGACCTCAGTTTTGAACCATAATTACTGGGTATGAAAAAGAAATCTAAATTTTATGGATCTAAGTATATAATCTTCCTATGAAAATGTTCAGTCAAAAATTATTTTCAAAAGGGTATCCACCCCGGCCACTTCTCCCTCTCCACACTCCTGGCACTGTGGACTTGGTACGTACCAGGGGCTAAGAAACCCTAAGCAGAAACCGGCTGTGCTACCCTCTGGCTGTGTGACTCCAGACAAACTGCTTAACCTCTCTGGGCCTCAGTGTCTTCATCTGTGAACGTGGTTTGGAGAAGTGCTGTATGCAACCACCCCTCAAGGCACCTCCCCCACCCCTGTCTTTCTAGGACATGACCACATGCCCTCTGCCACTCACGTGATCACGACGGGAGCCACCTTGTTGGGGATGATAGACTTGGCCTTACTGTTGTGCAAGCCTGTGGTCTGGAAGGAGTGGACGCTGAGTGAGTGCCGCCCGTCCATTGTGCCACTGCTCTGGAGACACTCGAAGGGGGCAGCTGCCGAGACCGAATGCTGGGCTGTGCTGGCCGTTGTACCCATAGTCTGCCAGCAGCCTCAGGACCCAAGGCCTACGGGGTAAGAACAGGTGTGGTGAGGGAAGGGTGAGAAAAGCCACAGTAAGAAGGGATCTAACCCAACCCTCAACCTGACAGTATGGACAAGGTAAAGTCTGGGACCCAGAGAGCCAAGCTCTCTGTAGCTGAAGACAGAGGGTAGATCTGGCACCTACCCTCACATGTCTGCTGAGTGCCAACTATGTGTCTGGCCTTTTTGATGTTCTGTGGGGAATTATGGATGTGAAGAGACACAGAGACCCAATGCCAACCCCGCACAGTATCTACTCCTTTGGCAAAAAAATAACAGTTAGGAAAGGGTTAACTCTCCACACCAAGTTGGGACCTAGCGGGGGCTAAGTGACCAGGCTAGGCCACATGGAGCCCAGACCTTCCAGACTGGAGAAGTGTGTGACCATCATTAGAGGGAGAATCAGGGACAGGTGCAAAAGTAAACTCGGCTTGGATTCAAAGGATCTGGATGGAAAGGAATACAAGAGGACATTCTAGAGTGAACGTCAAAATGAGGCCTGGGAAGTCCAGACTGTGTGAGCTCTCAGTGGATCAAGTGTTCAGTTAAAGCATCTGGGCCATAAACTCATCAACATTATCAACATTGATATCATCATCATTAACACCAATGACACCAACATCATCATCGTCAACAGCCTCCATCCAACAAAAGGGGGTCTGTTAAATAAATTATGGGGCATCCTTAAGGTGGAATGTTAAACAGCCCTTAAAAGATCAGATTAATGACCTGGTAAGACATAAAGAATTAGCGTGGAGCAGGATGCAAAGCAAGTATAGGTTTCGGTCCCATTTATTTATTTATTTATTTATTTATTTATTTAAAGAGTTATTTATTTATGCATAGAAGAGCTGGGGTACAGGCCAGAGAAGCGGGGGGTGAGAGGATTCACCAGAGACAGAGTGGGGAGCAGAACAAGCAGACTGACCAAAGTACACTGTTGAGAGAAGCAGCGGGTGAGTCAGGAGAGGTCTGCTGCGCCATGTGGGTTGCTCCCTGGCCGGCCGGGGATCGAACTCGTGCTGCAGAGACTGCGGATTGCTTCACAGTGTGATGCTTAACCCCTTGCGCCACCAGGGAGGCCCTCAGTCCCATTTAAATTCATGAAAGTATATCAGGAGAAAAGTGTGGGACTTTTCCTCACATCTACAATGTATTCTCCTGTATACATCAAGATGATATGGAGAGCTATCACCACGTGATGACATTATAAACTACTCTCTGTTCTCCTCTCTGCTTATCTGCACTTTCAGATTTTCTACTTAGGATGCTAGCTAATAAAGTTGAAACCTACTTAAAATTAATAAAACAATGGCTGGGGAGGTGGACTAGAAAACCTAGTCAAGAGATAGTAGAGGGTGGGCCTCCCCGGTGGCGCAGCGGTTGAGCGCTGGCTTGCGAAGCTGCCCGCGGCCTCTGCGGCGCAGGTTCGATCCCCGGCTGCTCCCCGGCCACAGGAGGGTCCCACATGGCGCGCAGACCTCTCCTGCCGCCCGCTGCTCCCCTCAGCAGTGTGCTTCGGTCCTTCTGCCTGCTCTGCTCCCCGCTCTGGCTCTGGTGAATTCTCTCACCCTCCCGCGCTTCTGACTGTACTCAGTGCATGTATAAACAAAACAAACAAACAAACAAATAAATAAAATATGCCTCTATTAAAAAAAAAACTTTAAAAAAAAAAAAAAGAGATAGTAGAGGGTGTAGGGAAGATTGGCTCAGGGTCCAAGAGCCAGGGCTGCTAGGAAGGGAAAGGACTGGAAATTCCACACAGACCCAAACGAAGGATGACAGGACCTGAGAGCTCAGCAGCGGGCCCCACGCAGCACTGACAGTCCAGGATCAGGAGGGGCGGAAGCAACCTGCCCTGCCCACTCCCAGCTCCACCCTGAGGTGGGCTCACTCTCAAACGCCCAGGGACATAAGCAGTCTTGAGAACCCGGCAACTCCCCTAGCTGCCTTCAGCCAGGTCTGAGCTGCTCCAGGTTCGTGGGGACTATGTGCTTCAACCATCCACTCCCTGCACCACCACCCCCCGACCCCCTCTGCCCAGCCACAGCACCTCAGCAGTGATGGCAGTCAGTAGGTCAGCAGGTCAGTCTGAAGGCTGAGCTCCCTAGGCGCTCACTCCTCAAGGTCTTGAGTCAGAGCTCCTGGAGCCAAAGTGGGTGCCCCCTAGGCCTCCCCAATGGCTGTGTGCTCAGGCTCTTCCTCTGCAGGGCGCCTAGACAGAATGACTGACCACCAGACTCAGCCATCTCTCCCAAAACCTTCCCAAACCACCACCACCAGTCCCTCTTATCCCGCCTGGGTGTGGCAAAAGGCTCCCGTCCCCCTCCATCCCACCCTTATCATCCTTGAAAATCCCCAGCAGCCATCTGACAGCTTTGTTAACACGCACACCTTGTGTTTATGAATCTATCACCGCTCTCAACACCCTGTCCAATATCCCTCTCTCTCTCATCTCCCTTTCATCAGAGATGGAAGGAATGAGCCCCCGCTGGACATCAATACAGCCATGAAAGTTGACCTGCCTCGGAAATATCTCCTTCCCCTGCCATGGTAGGTCCCAAATACCCTCACTGAAGTTCTCCAGACCCCTCTTAGCAGTTTGGGCCAAGGAAGCATAATTGGAAACAGCCTCCTTAAGAACAGGGGCAGGGGCCCTCCCCGGTGGTGCAGGGGTTAAAGTCAGTGCTGTCAAGCTATTCCCAGCCACTGCTGCATGAATTTGATCCCCATCCAGAGAGCTAACCCACAAGGCGCAGCAGACCTCTCCTGTCTCACCCCTGCTCCCCTCAGCAGTGTATTTCGATCAATACACCTGTTCTGCATCCCAATCTGTCCCTCGTGAATCCTTTCACCCCCTGCACCTCTGGCCTACACCCCAGTTCTTGTATGCATAAATAAATAAAAATCTTAAAAAAAAAAAAGAACAGGGGCAGAGTAGGTTGACCCCAAGGAGGGAGAAAGACAGGACAAGAAAGGGTCTGTGGCAGCACCAAGGCCAATGCCTGGCCCTGTTCCCACTGTAGGAAGGGGTTGGGGTAGGGGCAGGGATGCCACCTCCATCTCTCTGCCCCTTGCTTACCCTACAGCTTCAGCTCTAGCCACCCTCATCTGTCATGGGCTCCACAGACAATGACAGGCCCCTTCCAATCCCTATAAAAGCAGCTGAGGAACAACACAGATGTGCACAGCTGCAGGGGTTGGGGAAGGACTGTATCCTCTGAAAAGTGACCTGCCTTCAAAATATCTAGAGGAGGGCACAATCCTCAAGCTTCTCACTCTGACACTCTCACCCTAAAATCTCTCTCCATCCTGCCCTGAGGGACAGCACAGGGGTTTCCATGCTGCTGGCCACAGCCACATGCTGTGTGGCCTTAGGCAACCCCCTCCCCTTTCTGGGCCTCAGTATCCCCAGCCATTAATGACAGTGAGGGATGGAATGGACTGAAAGCTCTCCAGCTCCATATGGATCTGGCTCCGAAATTCAGTGCTAATGATCACACCATTGCTGTCCAGTCCGAGGGACAGTGGTCAGTTAAAGGTAGGGGTGTGGGGCAGAGGGCTTCCTAGTGCTCAAACCTCTGCAGGGAAGAGAGCTGGGGTAAGGCTGGACCAGAATGAGACTAGACTGTAAAATGGGAATCCACAAGCCCAGATGGTTGTGGACAATTATGCCTTTGTTTTCCTAACTTCTAGTTAAAAGAGAGCATTTCCTTCAATCACGAGTAAAGGCCACCCCTTGCGTGGACAGCAGAGCTCACAGGCACCACCACCTCATGCTGCAGGTGTGCAGGTAGGCCTACCTGCACACCTCACCCCCTTCAAACCACAGGCACGGGTCCTGCCAGGGACCACATGCGCTCAGGGCCCCCATCCCAGACACTGCAGGGCCATCACAAACCAACTTTGAACAATTCTGTGCCTGGGATTCTAGGGCCTCCACAGTGGGATCCAGGTTCTCACCACTAAGTGTGCCTCAGCAAGCCTGGAGAAGTCTGAGGGTCCTGGCCAGTACCTGAGCTTCACCTTCAACTTGGGCCATGGGGGCGCTGCTGTTCCATGTGCAAAGTGGGGTATTCAGCACCTGGAACCATCAAAACAATCACAGTCCTCCAGTGTCCATCGTGCAGGCACAGCCCAGCTTAATGTCCCTTCAGAAGCTGAACAACGACAGCCTGGTCACAGGCGTGTATTTAAAAATAAAATTTAATCTTTGTTTGCCGAATGGATTGTGTCCTGTTAATGCAGTGAAGAACGAAGGGCAGGAATAAAAAAGGGCAGGCACCAATTTGTTTTGACAGCTCTCATATAAAATGTACTTCAAAATAAATAAATAAATAAATAATAAAATGTACTTCCGCTGCAATCCCATATACTTTATTTTGTGCCTTTCAAAACATGATTCTGAGAAAAGGTCCATGAATTTCTGTCAGATTGCTAGGTGGGCTTGGCAGAGAAAAAAGGGGCACCCCTGCTTTAAGGGAAGAACACTCCCTACACTAACTCTCTTCCAACTTCTCCTTTGATTCTGGGCATTAACATTTCAAAGCACCCACTGAGCACCAGGCACCCCCAACAACCCTGATGGGTCAAGGCCCTATTGTTTCAGGTTTCAGGTGGGGACAAGGCACACATACACCTCCAGGAAGTGGGAGCAGATAGCTGCTCCCCGTCTCATCAGTCCACCTACCTCCCTCTTCACAGCTGACCCTGGCAGCAAGGGCACCCCCTACATGCTAACCTCCATCTTGAATCTGTGTGAGCCCCAATCAGGTCCTTCAGACCCCTCCACTCTGCTCTGTGAGAACACCCAGACACGGCTTCCTACAAAGGCAGCCACAGGTTTCCTCCTCCCTCCACGCAAACTCATGCAGTCAATCCCGAGAGAGAAGAAACTGCCTGTGGAATCCTCGGCAGAGAGGTGACCTCATTTGTTCAAGAAGAATCAAATTTCTGGAGCTGGGATCTTAGCTCCAACTCATCAGCGAACTGCCTGATGCCATGGCATAAAGGCCCAGCCCCCGAGTGAAGAGCCTCACATTGATGGCAGCATCAAGCCAAAGGGACGCTGCAGTGGACCATTCCAGGACCCAGAGTTGGGGGCAGCAAGGGAGGTTGGAGCGCTGAATCCTAAGGCCAGCCTAATAGCTCTAGAACCTAAGTCCATATCTTTCATACACTTCTAGTAGAAGCCAACTGTGCCCATCTGGTCTCAGTTTCCCCAACTTTAGTCCCTATCTCCTAAATTCCTTTTCTTTGCTTTATGATACAACAACCATGACCTCCATTGATCAAACCCTTTGGGCTTGGCATAGACGAACGGTGACTTTTTAAAGCAGTCTGGATCCTGGGACTGAAGCAGAAAGCTGGACATCAGCTACTGACCCCTGCTGCCACCTGCCCCTTTCCTTTCTCCTGGCCTGCCTGCCGGCTGCGGCCTAGACCCTCCAACAGAATCCCCAGTCTATCCTTAAGGAACCATGAGACCACAGGAACCTCTACAAGGGGCTGTCACCGCAGCCCTCCAGGAGCCAACTGTCCATCAGCTGCACTGCTGAAGGTCAGCTAGTCCAACCTCTCTTTCTATGGCTAAGGAAACTGAGGCCTAGAGAGGGTAAGAGGTGTGTTCTAAATCATAAAGAAAGTGGTGACAGGGCAGAACTGGAACCCAGGACTCTTGCCGCCCTCCCCAAGGCTCCCTGGCTGGGCCATGCTGACTCTGGTCTGTAGCAAAGGGGAAGAATTAGTTGTGAACACAGGGAGACTGTATAATCAAGGTGTGTCAATCAGGCATGTCTGATTCCTGTGCCTGCCAGGGCCAGGTAGTGAGTTGTCCTGAACAGTCACCTTAGGTAGCCAGTGACCCTGAGCACAGAAAGAAGGATGCCAGGAGGGCCACTAGGTGGACATACATGATCTCATTTAGGTCCTGCCCAAAAAAGAGGTGGCAACTCTTACAACTCAATAGTTAACAACAACCACAAAAAATTACAAAATGGGCAAAGATTTATAGGCACATACAGGGCCTCCCCGGTGGCGCAGCGGTTGAGCGCTGGGTTGCGAAGCTGCCCGCAGCCCCTGCAGCACCGGTTCGATCCCAGGCCGCTTCCCGGCCACCGGAGGAGGGTCCCACATGGCACGCAGACCTCCTCTGTTGCCCGCTGCTCCCCTCAGCAGTGTACTTCGGTCCTTCTGCCTGCTCTGCTCCCCGCTCTGGCTCTGGTGAATTCTCATACCCTCCCGCGCTTCTGACTGTACCCAGTGCTTGTATAAATAAATAAATAAATAAATAAATCTTTTAAGTAAATAAATAAATAAATAAAGGCACGTACAGATGTCAAATAAAAAGATGTTCAGTATCATTAAGGAAATGCATGACAATACCAAGTTTTGGTAAGGCTGTGGAGTAACTGGAACTCTCAGACACGGCTGCAAGGGATAAGCTCATACAGCTACTTTGGAAGACAACTCAGTAGATTTTTATAAATTTAAACAAATATTTGCCATATCACCCATATCACAGGGAACTATCAAAAGAAATGAAAGTAGGCCCAGAGGAAGACTTGTGCATAGCACCTTTATTCATAATAGCCAAAAACGAAAATCAACTCATATGTGCATCGTCTGCTGAACATATGAACAAAATGTAGCAGAGCCATACAACAGAGAAGATGGCATTGAAAAGGAGCAAACTGGGGCCTCCCTGGTGGCGCAAGGGGTTAAGCACAGCACTGTGAAGCTATCTGCAGTCTCTGCAGCATGAGTTTGTTCCCCGGTCCCTGACCGGCCAGGGAGCTACCCACATGGCGCAGCAGACCTCTCCTGGCTCACCCGCTGCACCCCTCAGCAGTGTATTTCAGTAGATCTGCCTGTTCTGCTCCCCACTTTGTCTCTGGTGAATCCTCTCACCTTCTCACCTCCCCACCTCTGGCATGTACCCCAGTTCTTGTATGCATAAATAAATCTTTAAAAGAAAAGAAGCAAACTGCTGATACAGACAACAATGTGGATGAACCTCAAAAATACCATACTAAGAGAAGCCAGCCAGGCCCAGAAGAATTCAAGCCATACAGCCTCATTTACATGACATCTAGGAAAGGTGAAACTACAGAGGTAGAAAATAGTTGATGGTTGTCAGGGGCGGGAGGCGGGAGGTTGACCAAACAGGGGCTCAAGGGCATTCTTGGTTGACGGAACTTCTCCATATATTGATGGTAGTTACACAACTATACACATTTGCCATTACTGATCAAATTATATACGCTTAAAATATAATTTATTATATAAAATTTATCTCAATAAATCTGTGAAAAACAAGAGGGGCTCCCCTGTCCTGTGTCTCACAGTGTCCTTGGCCCTCAAATCACGCCTTTGTACCCAGTGCCACTGCTGACCTGCCGAGTGAACAGGACCAAGTATCCCTCTGGACCTCCATTGCCACTTCTGTGAAATGGGGACCATTGCAGCACCTCCCTGGTGGGGTCATGAAGGTTAAATAATAGAATATAGAATAATAGAATATAGAATGTACACGAAGCCCTTACAACAGGGCCCAGTCACTGAGGACACCATAAAGTCCTATAAGCCAGCTGTTACCAGACATGGGGGAGAGGGGCCGGGGTGGGGGGTCCCTGATCAATTACACTCTGGAACTACACTGCGCAATAAGTAGCCATGGCTACTGAGCCCTAGAAATGTGACTGGTCCACATTGCAAGTATAAAATATAAACCAGATTTCAGAGAATTAGTACTTAAAAGGGAAAAGATCTAATTTTTGTGTTTACTTATATATACATAAATCAATTTATGTACAGATTTATTTATAAATCAATATATTTATTATGTTGATTACACATCAAAACAATACTTTGATATATTGGGTTAAATAATATGTGTTATTAAAATTAAGTTCATCTTATTTCTTTTTACTCTTGGCTCTTTAAAATGGCAGGTGTGGTTCACATTATATTTCTCTTGGACAGTGCTGCTGAGCCTCAAGTCCTCCACAGTCCTCCAGGGCACCCTTTGGTCAGCTTAGGGTGCTTAGAGTTGAACCCAACACCTGCTGCAGGTAAGAATAAACACCTATAATAAGCATGAGGAAGCCCCAGGAAATAAGTTCTAGCGTTCCCATTTATTTGATAGAAAAGTGGGGGCTCCTGGAAGCTGAAAGGGCTCTCCAAAGTCCTCACACCTTGCTGGGGGACACTGTAGTTCTGACTTTCTGTGACTCTGGGGTCAAACTGGCTGGTTCCCATCTCTACCACTCACTGGTGTGACTCTGGGCACAGGGCTTAACCTCTCTGAGTCTCAGTGTTCCCAACTACAAACTGGGGAGCATAGCTTACCTCCCTAATTAGAATGTACGCAAATAAAATAAGTGAGTGTGCATAGACACCTACCCAGCCTGACATACTGTGAAAGTTCACTCTCACCAGCTGCCCCAGCCCGCCCTGCTCCACCACATCCCCTGCTAGTAGCCAGAGGCAGGTCCCAGATCAGAACCTCTCTGCTAGGGACCAGAGCCTCATGCAGACAAAAGGAAGGGACTGGAGGCACAAGTGGGCTCCAGCAATACTCTGGTGCTCCTCCCAAACAAAGAACAGGGCAGAAAGGGGTAGGGTCACAGCAGCTGCCCCATTTTAGAAACACACAATTAGAACTCTCCCCACTCCACGCTGTCCCTTAAGCCACTTAGGGAGGTTTCCACCTGCTCCTGGCCTTAATTAAGAACCCAGAGAGCCCAGCTCCCCTTTGGGGCCTTGGTAAATCCTTTGCCTGCTCTGAAACTCCACCCCTCAAAGGGCGGGGTTGCACCCCAATTGGTCCGATTTTCTCCAGCTCCCCAGCGGACACCCAGTCAGGCCACCAGCTCCTGGATGCACCACCTGCAGCAGCCTCCCGCCAGACTCCCTCCTACTGTTACAGGGCAGGGAGAGGTGCACCCCAGATCCCCCCCAAAACCTGTCTGCTCTAAATGGGACCACACTATTACAATACTCCTTCACAATCCATCCTCTACGCAGCAGCCAGAGGGTCCTTTAAGGCCTTAGAGCAGGCCATGCCTCTTCCTTCCATCACACTGTGACATCCAAACCCCTCACCCTGATTTATAGGCTCCGCCTCTCAGAACTCACCCCCTTCCCTTGTGATGGCCTTCAGTCACTGGCCAGTCTTCCTCGGGGCCAAGGCTTCACACCCACCACCCTCTGCCCGGAACACTCTTCAGTTGTCACCTGTCACCTTGGCTCAAACATCCCTCCTCAGAGAAGCTTCTCTGAGTCCCTGGCCGAGCTGCCTGCTCACTCCTTCTCCCCCATCCTTCCGTTTCATGCAAATCCCTTTTATTTCTTAATGGCCTCACAGCAGGATTATGCGTAACATCAGTCTCCCCCACTTCCTAAGAGCAGCAAGTCTTGACTTGCCTGCTTCATGGCCCCAGCACCAGGACAGCTACCAAGGCCCAGAAGCTGCTCAGTGAGTATTTTGGAAAGGAACCCACAATGACCAACCCGAGGACATCGTCACCTTTCAGAATTCACAGAGGCGAGAGCCCAGTAGGTCTCAGGCTTCTTTCTGCAGGGGATGTGGGGAAAGCTACTACTACCTCACACTCCTCTTGTTATAGGGCAGCCCCGATATTGAACGGGTTCCTGGCTGTGGGTCCTCACCCGCACGCTTAAAAGGGATTTATTAATACTCCACTACAGGCATACACAAAAGGTTAATAAAAGGCTTATTTACAAGGGAAAAGGAAATAAGGAAAATGTACAACTCAGGGAGAAAATAGGGAAATAAAGTCTTTAATGCGTCCTACCCGATCCGCCGACCTGGAAACCCAAGGGCACTCTCAGAGCTGGCCGGCGCAGCGAGCTGGCGGAGAGCCAAAATGGGGGACCCCTCCAAAGCCCACGTGTCTGCCTTATATCAACCTGGCTGCTTAACCCCACCCTCAGGTCCCAGCCACCTTCCCTTTGGTGGTGATGGGATTTGGAGTTCCCAGTGTCTTTGGCTTTGGCCTGGGGTGGGGGTGGAGAAAACAAAGCCTGTATGGAATTAGCTTTAGGACATCCTTTTCCCCCTAACACTCTCACTACTGTCCTGTCCTCTTCCCTCCATCCTCCTACATTTTACACCCTTGCAGGTTAAAGTCTAGCTCCTCCAGGAAGTCCTCCCTGACTACATGCTCACCCCCATCTCTCAACACCCACAGTCCGTTGTGAGCATCACAAAATGGGACATTCCATTCCCTTCCGCTGCACGCCAGCCTGTGTCCTTCCTGGCTCGCGCAGCTGCTTGGCTCAGGGGAAAAGCAGGACACATAACTGCAGATGGAATGAGCTGACCCCATCACTTTACCTTCCCACCCACCCTGCCTGGCTCCTTGTTGAGGGGGCCAAGGACGGCACTCAACAACAATGAGGCACAAAAGACGGGAAGGATGTTTACTTAAAAGTGATGGTGGCGCTCATTCCTGAACGTGGGACTGAGTTGGTGTTTTCTCCTTTCTTGCTTAGCCATCACTTTGAAATTTCCTACAATGAACATGATTACTTAGGAATCTTTAAAAAGTATGATTATTTTTAAAATTTTAAAGTTGGACAGATGCCACAGCTCCTCACCCAGGGTATGCCCCTCCTGGCACACCCCGAAAGCCCCCTGTGCTCCTCCAGCTGCATGCCTTTGCCCCCAACCCCCACCCCCAGTACCCACTACCTAGTGATCCATGTCACCATGGCAATAACTCCATTTGTACAGCTTAGGGGGGCTGCATGTCTGCTTGGATTTTCTGTCTTTGCTATTGACAACAACCGTGAAAGGGGCGGCGGGGGTGGGGGTAACAGGGTTCATGACACCCCTATACAGAAGAGGAAAAGGCTAAGCAGTGTCGAGGATGTAAATTTACACTTAGCAGAGGCAGAATCCTCTGGTTTCCACTGTGTGGTCTGATGCCTTGTGTCTCTGGGGTCACCCACACCTCTGTCCCTCAGCCTGTTTCCCTTTAAAACTAAGATGAGATCAATTTTAAAAATAAAATAAAAATAAAATAAAGCCGTCTGGGGTCTGGGAAGGCAGGAGACCTTCATCTGCTAAATTATATGTCTCTGAAATGTTGTTATTTTTATTTTTTCTAAAAAAAAGTGTTTGTTTTAAAGTTAAAAGCAGAAGGTAGGGAGTGTTAGGACATACTACCACGTATTCGGCAGGAGGCTGTCACCGTGGGGTGGGTTTCGTGTCCCCAGCTTTAGTTTGCAAACAGGGAGCTTTGCAGGCCTTTGAAGGTCTGAGTTCTGGTAAGAAGATGTCATTGTCACACACTGAGATGACACCTCAACGTGGGCTTGGGGCTGGCAGTGGACAAAGGCAAGGTCACTAGGTGTGCAGCCGAGTAGCTATGGCAAGTGGGGGGTCACACAGATGGACCCCCTGAACTGAGAGAAGCCATAGGTGGAGAGCAGGTCCCTGCCCTTTGGGGAGGGAGTGGACAAGCCCCCCTCGGCTCACCTGGTGGTGGAGGGTAGAGAAGGGGCTCTTGCCTGCTCTGCTACCATCACAGACCTTGGCACCTGGCGCAAGGTGCTCTAGCATGGGCCTGGAGGCGGTCAGAACCCAGGACCCTCAGGAAGGAAAAGAACCCTTTCCAGCAACCCTTATCACCTGCCTCTATGCCTGTGGAGGCCCACCACCACCACCTCTGGAGCCCCTACAGTGAGTCAGCTCTGCCTGACAGAAAGTGCTGTCTATATGGGATCTTGGATTGGGTAGGGGGAAGGCTATAATGGACACTTTGAGGATAAGCAGGAGACTGAATATGGACTAAACGTTGGATACATAAGTGAACAACCTTGGGTGCGATAATGACATCATGGAGATGAGGAGACTGTCCCTATTCTTAGGAGATACAGAGATACAGAGAACTCTTCAGAGTTCAGAGATAAAACATTGGATGCCTGTGACCTTCATACAGTTGAGAGACAGAATGAACCAATGGTGCAATGTGAGCAGCTGGTGAGGACGGACAGGCATTCGCTGTACTCTGCACTTAAAATTTTTCAAAATAAAAAAACTGGGGTTAAAAAAACATTTTTAAAATATTTTTTTTTAATTAGCTATCTTATAAGAAACTAGTTTTCCATATATTCCCCTTACTCCCTGCTCCCAGAAGACTCAGAGAATGCATCTTCCTGGAGGGAGAAGGCTTATAATCCACAGCACAAAAGGGTTCAAGTGTACCCAGGGCCTGACCCTCAACTTTTGTGACTTTTCACTCAAATTAGCTGCCAGAACTTAAAAATCAAGGGGTTTCAAATAAGACAACAGCTCTCTGGCTACTCTTGAAGAATCCAAAGATGTGTAACAACAGGGCTCCATGATGGGGAGGCAAGTAGAGAGACCCCTGGGGGACTCCTGAAGTCCTCCAGGCCTTCCCAGACTCCTAAGGTCTGGTGGGGAGTGGGTTCCCTCTAACTGTTACAGAATGCATCTTCATGAAAGGGGGAGGGGCATCACAGTGTAGTAAGCAGGCCCCATTTTCCTTGCCCCCACTCATTTGCAGTCACCTGGGACTACAAGTCCCAGAATGGCATGAACTAGACTTCTTGGGGTGGAGGGAGCTACTGGGAACTAGGGCTGGAGCTGAGCAGTCAGGTGAACCTACATTTAACTGAACACATGCAGCCTGGGGGCTCGAGCTTCTGTGGCCTGACTCACCCCTGATACAGCTGGGAAGGAGACTTGGAGGAGATATGTGGAAGAGACTCATGGGAAGGCTGTCCTTGGCAGAGACAGTGGCAGCCATTATCTTGATACGGTATCTCTACCCAGCTCTCTGGGACTTACTTAACCCCTTTCTTGTGGTTCCCCACCAGAAAGTGCCCTAGACTTGTGGCAAGTTTTCAGGCCTCAGCAGCCCTGCTTCTAGCTTACCCTGTTTGACCGGGAATTTTCCCATGAGGGGGATGGGTAACTTGGGGAGTTTTATTGGGAAACTTTTATTGGGAATATCCTTTCTTCTTGTTTCTCTTTATGTGCACCAATTCTTTTTTTTTTTTTCTATAGAGGCATGTTTGTTTGTTTGTTTGTTTGTTTGTTTGTTTGTTTGTTTATACATGCACTGGGTACAGTCAGAAGCGCGGGAGGGTGAGAGAATTCACCAGAGCCAGAGCAGGGAGCAGAGCAGGCAGAAGGACCGAAGCACACTGCTGAGGGTAGCGGCAGGCGGCAGGAGAGGTCTGCGCGCCATGCAGGACCCTCCTCCGGTGGCCGGGGAACAGCCGGGGATCGAACCGGCGCTGCAGAGGCCGCGGGCAGCTTCGCAACCCAGCGCTCAAACGCTGCACCACCGGGGAGGCCCCTATGTGCACCAATTCTATTAAAAGTTTTCTCACTAAGAGTACGCTTCCTTTGCCTTTGGCAGATGGCTGGGTGCCTTGTAGAGCATGCACCCCTTAATAGGCATCCCTGGGTGCCCCCTGGTTATTCATAAGCATAACCCTTGTCTGGGATTCCTTCGAAGCTGCATACTGTTCACTTTTTTGTAATATCTGCCATTCTTTGCTTTTCCCAAGTCTGAGTCCCCAAGCATCCTGGGGACTGAGAATGAGACTTTCCCTCAGGATCCAGCAGCCCAGACATAGGTCACACTTTCCCACTAAACTCTGATGCCCAAGTAAAGGGGGCCCCACCTCTGACTTCTGCCACTGAGCTGACTCCTAACCCTTCAAAAGCCTCCTCCCCTCAGATGTGGTTCCTGCTCCCCTCCCTGGCCTGGGGCATGTGGCTGTCAGGTGTGAAGCAGGACTGACCATCCCCTGGGAAATCTCTCTGGGTAAGACTCTACCTCCCCTGAAACTCTGGCCCAGTTTCTCAGCCTGCAGGATTGATCAAAATGCTCTCCATGCCTTCACTACCTCTCCCTCCCTCTGTCAGTATTAAACAAACTGGAGAAGAAGCAGAAACAACGAGCACTTGGCTGCCCGGAGTCAAGACAACATCTCCAGTCTCCCTAGCAGCTACTGAGGCCACTAATTCTAGCTAATGGGGCACAGGGCAGTGTTACGTGGCAAGTTCTGGTATTCCTGTGGAGATCCTCCCTTCATCCTGCTTTTTGGAACACAGATGTGAGGGCTGATGTTTTGCAGCCATTTTGAACCACAAGCATGTGAAGTCACACCCTAGGAATGATGGAGATCAAGTTCCCTGAGAAATCGGAGCAGAACTACCATACCAGGCGTGGACCACTGCAAAGCTCTGAGCTTGAATAGGACAGAGAAATTAACTTTCATCTCGTAATCCAGTTATTTGGTTCTTCCTATTACTTGTGGTCAACTCTAATCCTGATTAATGTGCTCTATTATTTTTAGGTTTCACCCTCAATGACTACATGGCAATAGGACAGTACTTGGCTGCCTTCCCCTCTGGTGGGAGAAGGTGAGTTTCCCTGGCAGTAAACATGGGCTGCTTGGAAGGCCAGGGATCTGTGCTTAGGCCAAGATCCTGTGAGTCCCACCCAATACCAGAACCCAGGAGACATCATCCCTGGCACCAGGGCTTGCAGGATAGCTAAAAAGACACACAGAAGACAATCAGAGCCCCACCGACTGGGAGATAGTGTGATGCAGCAGTTACCCCGAGTGAGATGCGAGGTCTGGAAAGTTCCAAGCAGCTGATGTTTGTTCCACACTGTAGAAAGAGGCCTGGCCCCCATTGCTCCAAAAAGGCAGAGAGACCACAGGAGTCCCCCATCAGGGTCTCTCCATGACCCACTCGGGAGGCCTTTCTGAGCAGGGGAACTCCCTGGGAAACAAGAAGGTATGCCTGGACAGGAGAGAGCCTGTCTTTTGGTTCCTGCAGGGAGGGGCAGGCAATGCATGTAAAGATGCCCTGGAATGGCATGGCAGTCATCTGACTGCTGAAGGATCCTGATGCCCCCATCCATCTCCAGGTTCCTTGCAGCCAGATTGGGGGCAGTGGGTAATACAGGAGGTAGGGGCGGGCAAAAAGAACAGGGTTAGGAATGCCTGGACATGCTCAACTGCTCAAATCTAAGAAACTATGTCTTTGGGTACTTCCAGGTCAACAGAAACCCAGGGTCTCCTGGGCCCACCAAGGCCCTGGCCATACTCATACTCTCATCAGCTTCCGGGGCCTGAGCCCAAAAGGGTTTTACGCATGAACCCCACTTTCAACCTCTAGCACAGGGACCTCAAGTATCATTTCAACAGGCTGGAAAGAACCAAGACCCAATTCTGGCATCTGTCCCCATCCTTTCCACGACTGTGGCCTCCAGCCTGGCATTCAATACCACATTTCCTACCCTGATGACCCACTATTTACTCTCCAACCCCCGACATTCAGGCATATCCAGGTCCTAGCTGCCTGATGATACCCAGCAGGAAAACCTCCTGCCCATAGGAGAAGTGTCCCTCCAACTCGGAGAGACCTCAGGCTCAGTACCAGCCTCTCTGGGTCACACATGATCTCCTTGAAAGTGAGGGGCTGGACAAAATGGGTGGCTTTCGAACATTTTAGCAGCTGAACCCTTGGTGCAAAATTAACCTTTCACAAAATTCCCATGTACAACTGTCAGAAGTAGAGTGCTATGCTGGCTGCCGGCTCAAGAGGGTGTTAAAGAGCCTCCTGTCCCTCCCAGGCAGCAGCAGCCCCAGAACTGCTGGCCAGAAATGCGCCAGGCCCTTTCCTGCCTGGAACTCCCACGACATAGCGGGGCCTTCCTTACCTCCATGCCGCTGCCTTCCCTGGTCCCACAACCAGGAACCCCACCCTCACCGCCTTCACCACAAGCACCTACATCTAGCAGAATTGCCCCCTCCTGCTTCAAGCCTTCCGGCATATATCCAGTGCCCACACAACCCTGGCCTTGACTTGAACCCACTGGCTTGGTGTTTAGTAGCTACATGCCTATCTCCCACTCGATCCCATGCTCCTCTGGGCTCCCACAGGGCTCCCATAACAGTTGTAGATCCCAAGTGTCAATTTGCTAAGTGAATTTCACATTTACTATCTCACTTGATCTTCAGTAAAATGAGAAAGGCAGACGCACAAACTCTTGTGCCCTCTGTGAGTGACATACCAAGGCTCAGAGCGTTCCTGGACCCTGCTCCTTCTACTGCATCACCCACCCAGTCACCCACCCAGTCACTTTCTGCTGAAGCCATCCAGCCTTTCTCCACCAGCATTGGGAAGCTTAAACCAGGGACCTGGTAGAAGGCAGAGAACAAGCTGGACCCAGGAGAAGAGCGCCCCTTCCAGGGCCACAGCCTCCACATACCCCTGGCTGCCAGATGCCTGGGGAGAGCAACAATGGAGCTAAAAATAGGGCAGGAGGATGAGTGGCCAGCTGCAGGAAACATCTGCCTCAGTTGCAGAACAAACACAGAGGAAGTCCCCACACTGCAGGGCTCCCCTGCTGTGGGGCCAGAAGAAGTTGGAGGGGAGCATGGATAAACTTTCAAATCAGTACCCAGAGAAGGCACTCAGGCCAGTTCCCCCACCTGTCCTGAGCCTTGTTCCCCAACTCCCTGTCTGCAAGCACATGCATGCACATTATAGAATCAAAATTCTCCTTGGTCTCCAAGATGTAGAGTTAGAACCAGAAGCATCTTTGAGACCTGGTCTATGCCTCTCATTTTATAGATGGGGAAACTGAGGTCCAAAGTAGGCCAGAAACCAACCCACAGTAACAGAGCAACAGATGGCAGGCAGGGTCAGGACTAGGAATCTCCTACTTCTCTCCCCCCACACCTCCCTACCCATCAACTTCACAGAGCATTTCCATCCAGGACCAGGAAGCACCCGATTCCAGAGAATGAAGCACACCCAGCAGAAGAGACAGCTTGCAGCATAAAAGACTTCAGTTAGACTCAAGGAGGAACCACGTGGCCATCAATGACTTCTCCCAAGGAGGCCTACTGCTCCCCAACTCCCACCTCTGCTCTAAATGCCACCACGGTCAGCTCTCCTCCAGGAATTAAAATGACACCACTGATACTTCCATCAAGCAGCAGATGAAGCTGAGAGCCACCAAACAGCCTCACACTCATCCAGTGCCCTCTGCCGCGTTCACTCCCATCTCCAGCACCAGGAAGGCTTTCTGAACTGCCCCTGGCACATCCCACCATGGGTGTCATCCCCCACAGAGCCCACCAGGCAGGGGAGCTGGGGGCTGGCCTTCAATGGCATCCCTGTGGCCCAAAGTAATCACGTGAATGAGTGAAACTGGAAAGATATTTAAAGGACAGTAACAATAGATCAATCCTGCTGGTGTCTACGCTGTGAACATAAAATAGGTGAGAGAGGTGGAAGTTTAGCCCAGGGCCCAGAACACAACAGGCACTCAGAAATTGCAGCCCTGTCTGGGTTGCCTCAGAGCTTCTAGAAGGTTAATGAGGAAGCTCATGGAGGCTGTAGAAGCTCCCTTGGGCCAGGAAGAGGGGGCGCTGACTCTGAGGAGCACCCATTAGAGAAGCAGACCCCACCCACTGCCAGACCCTTGCCTGGCTGGGTCACTCCCTGGTCACTCCTGTTGAGTCATACCCTCCCTGACTCCCAGAAGAACAAGAAAAATGGGACACCTACAAAGTCCCCTTGGGTACTCCTGCGCTGAGGCCACACACCTTCCATGTAATCTAAGGTTCTGCAGCAACAGCACGCTCCACAGAGCCCAGGTCCCCAACACCTTCCAGGGGTCCACAAATTAAAACGTCCTTTGGACAATACTAAGACATCACTGCCTTTGCCCAGAAGGAAAGTTCACGGGACGCAAGCCACAGCAGGCCAAACTGTGGCCCCACCATGGGCTGGTCGCACTCGTGGTGACGAGATATGCCAGTGCCACTTGAGAATGTCCTTGGTGACACAATAAATACGATGTCACTGAATGTCAGTCCATGTGATGGCCCAGGATGGACAAGGACTGCTCCCCGGTCATGACAGGTGTGCAGAGGAACAGCACTGTGAGCTTGTCTGAGCTCCAGCACAACCGGCCACTTTCTCCACAGAACACAAACCCACTCCTGCTTGGAGACAGGGTTGACTGACAAGCCATGGTCATTTAGAATTGGGCCCCCGGAGGACATCTCTCAAGAATGAAAAAAGTAAATCCATCCCTTTGAGGAAAACAACTGTCAACATTTGCTGCCAAAGATAAAAGTGTGAGCTTTCAAGAGAAAAATTGGAGTTTTGGGAAACTTACATTAGCCTCTATGAGTTTGGCAGCTTCCCAAAACGCATTTTGTGATGATATGGGTGATGTTCAGACATCTAATTTTTTGATAAGATGAAATGAAATGTGTCCACATTTGGAAGCGTTATGTAACTAATAAACCCATTGTCCAAATGACTAATTGTATGACGTTACAACATCACACCTGGGTCAATGATTCCATAATGTCAGATGGCCTAGTGGGTTTTAAAATAATAAAACACGAAAGGTTCATTATATTTTCCATCCTACAGTTAAACAAACCTCAGAGAAACTGTCACTTGTCAAATTTTTATGTAGTTACAAATTTTTATGTAGTTACAGCCACAGGCTAATAAAATCCTCCCTTTTCCAAGTACTTATCTGTGGGAAGGTGGATTTTCTTCACATAGTTCAATCAAAAACAAGATATCACTACAGACTGATGCAGGAGCAGCTGGGAGAATCCTGCTGTCTTCCACCAAACCAGACATTAAAAGAAGTTTGAAAAATTGCAAAACAATGCCACTCTCCCCAATATGTTTTTTGTTTGAAAGTTACTTTCCAGAAAAAAATTTCATTTAAGTCAACATATAAGTGTGTTCTTATTATTTTTTTTTTAAGATTTATTTATTTATTTATACAAGCACTGGGTACAGTCAGAAGCGCGGGAGGGTAAGAGAATTTACCAGAGCCAGAGCCAGAGCGGGTAGCAGAACAGGCAGACTGACGAAGTACACTGCTGAGGGAAGCAGCGGGCGGCAGGAGAGGTCTGCGCGCCATGTGGGACCCTCACCCGGCGGCCGGGGATCAAACCGGCGCTGCAGAGGCTGTGGGCAGCTTCGCAACCCAGCGCTCAACCGCTGCGCCACCAGGGAGACCCTGTTCTTGTTGTTTTTTAATGAATTTCTAAATGTGTCTTTAAATATACTGTTTTAATTTCTAATATGGTAAGTATCAATCTATATAAATAACTCACATAAACAAAAGTTCCTTGGGGGTCTTCAGTATTTAGGATGTGAAGAAAAGCATCTTAGCTCTTGTACTGAAGGCGCCTGTGGAGCCAAGGACATCAGTGCAGACATGGCCAAGGCCAAGAGCCACACCACGTACAACCAATCCCAAAAATGGCACAGAAATGACATCAAGAAACCCCTATCACAAAAATATGATTCTCTAAGGGGGTGGACCCCAAGTTTCTAAGGAACATATGCTTTGCCAAGAAGCCCAAGAAGGGCCTCCCTGGTGGCACAAGGGGTTAAGAATGCAACCTATGAAGCTATCCGCAGCCACTGCAGCATGAGTTCGATCCCCAGCCAGGGAGCTACCCACATGGTACAGCAGACCTCTCCTGACTTGCCTGCTGCTCTCCTCAGCAGTGTATTCAGTCAGTCTGCCTGTTCTGCTCCCCACTCTGTCTCTGGTGAATCCTCTCGCCCCCCACACCTCTGGCCTGTACCCCAGTTCTTGTATGCATAAATAAATAAATCTTTTTTAAAAAAGAAAAGAAAAAGCAGCACAAGAAGGGCCTGAGGATGATGAAAGCCAATAATGCCAAGGCTTTGAGAGTACATGCAGAGGCTATCAAGGCTCTTGACAGTCAGGGCCAGCATGCCAAAAGGCAGCAGCCGCAAATTCAGTCCACTTGCCTACATTGCTCACCCCATGCCTGGCAAACGTGTGCCTGGCAAACGTGTGCCTGCCCCATCACCAAGGATCTCAGGCTGTCCCCCAGAGACCAAAGCTCAACCCCGGCCAAGGATGCAGCTAAAGCACAGGCTCCCAAAGGTGTGCAGACCCCCACAAAGGCTCCAGAACAGAGAATCCTGCCTGCCCATGTAAGGACAGAGGACTGGAGTCACTCCTAGGCCCTAAGTCGCTATGCCATTTGTACAAATAAGCCTGGGGAAAAAAAAAAAGAGACCTGGGACTAAAAATTTTACTTGAGACTAAAAAGTTTAAAAGGCTATTGTAATTCAACCCTTACAATAGTTGGTGATTATCATTTTTATAATCTACTGGCATTATTCATATTGGCACATACAGACACTGAGGCACAGGGTCTGGTAACGTGCCCCAGGGCACACATGGAACCGAGCTGCTATTGATCTCTAAGTTGTCCCTCACCTGACATTATGCTCCCCTTGGAAGTGTGGACGGAAGCGCAATAACATGAGACACAGGAACCCACAGAAGCAAAAGAAGAGAATGTAGGTAACTATCTGTGTCATCTTGGGAGAGAAAAGACAAGCTAGAGAAGACATGGAGTTAAATATTGATAGATCGGACCACTTAAAAATGGCCAGCTTTTCTCCAACACACATGAACCACAATGTTAAAAAGCAAATGACAAATTAGATAGAAATATTTTCAACATATTTTTATTACCTATATTCAATATAGGAACTTTTTGGTTTTTTTTCCAAACAAATGAGAAAGCAAATACACCTCGAGAGTAAAGCAGACCTTAAAAGAGACCAAGTGGGCCTCCCTGGTGACGCAATGAGTAAAGCACAGCACTATGAATGCAACCTTTGAAGCTATCCGCAGCCACTGCAGCACGAGTTCGATCCTTGGCCAGGGAGGAGACCCACAAGGTGCAGCAGACCTCTCCTGACTTGCCCGCTGCTCCCCTCAGCAGTGTATTTCAGTAGATCCACCTGTTCTGCTCCCCACTCTGTCTCTGGTGAATCCTCTCATCCCCCACACCTCTGGCCTACACCCCAGTTCTTGCATGCATAAATAAATAAATCCAAAGCACCTGGAGAATGGAAACCACATAGCTGTCTGGAGGCCAAGCTGGCAAAAATTCTCAAATACCTTAAAAATGTGCAGGCCTTGGACCCAGCAATTTTAGGAGTTGATCAAAAGGAAATAAAGATCTGCCTGCAAAAGAGCTCAGTACAGGGTTGTTTCTGTCCATAAAAAACTGGAGTTCTCCTTCCCATCAACAGAGGGGGACAGAGGTGTCATGGATGTCACCATGTCATCATCAAAACCTATGGATGAACGTCACTAACAGAACATGGGGCAGAGCAACCTAGGGATATGTTCAAGATTCCATTTATTCGAACCTCAAAAACAGGTCAAACTAGTGTATGATACTAGAGGCAGGCAAGAGCAGAGCAGGAAGGTGGGGACAGGGATGAGGTCCTGGGTGTCCGGGTGCTGGAAGATTCTGGTGTTAATCTGGGGGAGGTTCACAAGGCTGGCTTTGCACAGTCATCACGTATGTGGGCTGTGTGTGTTTTTCTGTGCAGGTTACTTCACTTTAAAGGTTTCAAAAGAAAGAAGTAGCAGTTATTTACTGAGAAAGGAAAATACCTACTGTGTGCTTAGTTTTTTAAAAAGCTAGTTGATCTTATTTTTGAGTTTTGTCCCATTAAAGAAGGAAGGCTCTTGGATAAAAGCACACACTCCTGCACACACATGCTCCCTACCACACACAGACCCGCAGAGATGTGCACACAGGCCCCCAAGACACACAGAGACAAGCCCACCACCACCACCCCCACCCCGCACACACACACACACACACACACACACACGCCTGAAAGGAAACATCTCGAAACATCAATGGTGAACTGTGATTATTGCTGGGAGGTGATTTCACAGGTGATTTTTTTCTCATCTTGCATAGCCTCCTTTTCCCTGGTTTTCCTACACAAACATAAACTATAGGAAAAGGGGAGGGGAGAACCACATGGTGTGGCTGCTGACACCAGGAACCATGGTTCCTTATGACTTTGCAGTCCATATAGCCCTGAGTCCGTGGGAGAAGGTCGAGAAGCGTGGATTTCCAGCCTCACCTCTGCTGGGAGGCTATGCATCTTCCCGTGAAGACACTGCAATGCGAGAGTTGGAATGATCTGGGGACACGTCCAGCGCTGTTTCCCCAGAGACCTGGGTGAGTTCCTGAGCCTGTGTGAGCCTCAGTTTCCCTGCAGTGGAGTGAGGATTAAATGCAGTCAAGGATGTCTCAGACTGAGGGGTCAATGGTCAGAGGCACCCTGACAAACAGGCTCCCCCAGGTTCCGCAGTAGTAGAAATGGAGACCGAGGGAGGCTAAGAGACATCCTCACTTCACAGCATAGGCCCGAGGCCCTGGGGATACTCTCAATTGGAGCATGCTCCAGAGGCCCAGCTCCTGGTCCTGTCCTCAAGAAGTGCCTGCCCTCCCTGGGCCTCAGTAAAGAGCAGGCTGGACAATGGACTTGACCTCAGGTAGCCTCCCTCAACCCCCACGCCCACTGTTCCCATGAAACCCCTGTGAGGAGAGCTGTGGCAGGAAAGGTGGATGCTTCTCCAGACAGGAAGTGACCTCACCGGATGAATGACAGGCCAACATTCCATCAGGAGCCCCACCTGCTGGTGACCCTTGGGGTCATGGGAGCCAGGAGTGGGTGAGCACACTGAGGCCACGGAGGAAACAGGATTTATTTCGGAAGACCA